AAGCTGGAGGAGGTGGCTGGGGAGAGGAAGGTCTGGGCTTCTCTGCTTAGGCTGCTGCCCCGCGACCCGGCCCCGGATAAGGCAGGAGAAGATGGATGGATGGCTGGATGGATTTGATTTTTATGGTTTAAAGCTCATGAAAATCAGAAGTCCAGTAAACTATTAAAACAATTTGTAATGTAGAAATATTTAATTAATGGAATATATGTTTATATAAATACTCAGTACTTGGGAATCCTTTGCCACTAATTACTGCATCAGAGCAGTATGACACGGTTGTTCCACTGCTGAGGTGTTACTGCTCGGTTCCTTTGATGGCGGCCTTCAGCTCGACTGTATTTTTGGGTCAGGTGTTTCTCATCTTCATCTTAGATTCTCTGGGGATTCGGGTCAGGAGAGTTTGCTGGCTAATCATTTACAGTAATAACATGGTCATGGTAGCAGTTCTGGCACTGTGAGCAGGTGGTGCTTTTCTGCAGATGGAAGCATAAAGTGTTATAAAATCTCCTGGTAGATGTCAGTGTTGACTTTGGACTTGATAAAAAACAGTGGACCAAAACACCAACAACATCGGCTGAGGACTTGGCACCCTGAGTCATCACAGAGTGTGCGGACTTCTTACTGGACTTCAAACATCTTCGATTTTGTGCCTTTTCCACTCTTCCCCCAGACTGCAGGACCTTTGCTTCATTTGAAAAAAAAGCATTTTGCACGTCTGTGCAACAGCCCAGTAACACTGCATCTGTCCACTCCTCGAGAAGCTCTCCCAAGTTCTTGAATCAACTTTTCTCACGATTCTCTGAAGGCTGCTGTCATCCCTGCTGTTTGTGCACTATTCCTACCACATTTTTCCCTTGAAGTCAGCTATCCACGAATAAGCTTGAGCACAGCACTCTGCAACAGCCAGCCTTTTCTTCCGTGCCCTTGTGGACGATGTCAATGATCATTATCTGGAGAACTGTCAAGTCAGCAGTTGGGTTGTGTTTGCATGTACTGAACTAGACTGAGAGATAGACATTATTTATACTGTGTGAACAGTATTTCACTCAAAATGAAATCTATATTTTTCTTTATAAAGACCTGAAATATTTCACTTTATATATGATGAATGTAGAATGTATCAAAGTTCACCTTCTTTAATTTAATCACAAAAAAATGAACTTTTCACAATGCTCAAATTTTCTTAGATGCACTAGATCTTCAGACCATATGAGGGACATTTTTAGAGGAAATCAGCGCAGATATGGTGAAACATGAGGATAACATGGGATACAAAACTTATCAACTATTCAGATTTTTGTTTTAATCTAAGTATCTAGGTGCATTTGAAGAGCACAATCTGTATGCATGGTTTCATAAATCTGCCTTTGCCTTTGTGCATACACACAGCTTTATGCATCTGCCACCAGGACACGAATACTAAAAGTTAAAAATATCAGAGGGGGCATACTGTTACAATGAAAACATATGCAAACTAACTGTGAAATTTCCTGGTAGAGACTGGCTGGGTGGATGAAAACTAGTTAAAATATAAAATTAATGAACAGAAGTTACAGTATTGATACCCCATAGGGACAAATCAGCCATCTGTTGAACAAAGGTGTGCATGTTTGTGAATTTGTCTGTCCGTAATACATGATATCAAAGCTATACACCATTCACATTCTTTTTATTGATTGGTTTTGGGTCTAGAGGAATACCTTTAAGGCCCAGTTTCTGTCAAAAACTGACTTCTGTTGAAATTTTCTTCCAGCAGAGACAGAGAGTGGAGCACAAATTACTTTTTGTTCAGAAAATAGCTCAGTCAGGATCTGAAGGAGTGGAAAATATGTGAAATCAAACCGACTTCACGGGGAGTCTGAGGTTTTAGGTTTTGTTGTACTAAAGGAGCACCAGACATTATTACATTAAACAGAGTAATCGCTTTGTACTCTTAAAATGAGGAAACATAAAGACCAGGGTTCATAGGACAAGAAGGGAGCCTGAAACACTGAAAATATTTAACTTCTAGGAGTTATAGGATTCATAGGAGAAAGGACTGTATGGTGCAAAGGGATTGCCAGGTGTCTGAAAATACACGCCACACTGAAGGTGACTCTATGTTGTGCACTCAGCACGTGGTGCAAACATAGGGACAAACCTTGGTTCTCCTGGCATCCAGCAGCTGCAGAGCATGGGCAGAATGAACAGAAAAACAAATGTATGGTGAAAACACAGCGTCAGAGCTTGATGCAACAGAGATGGATGAACATAAACAAGTCAGAGATTAAAATGAGAGCTGCCAGTTTATCAGTCCACAGTCAGTAGTGCAAATTCTTCTTAAAAACAGACATTTTGGCTTGTCATAGTAGGAAAAGCA